TTGTAGCTGTTAAGACTTCACTGGGATTTCATTTTGCTTTCGTAAAACCTTGCAAAAGCTTTAAAGTTATGAGATCACTCATGTTTCTAGTGGTGAAAATGGAATGAAGGAATACTTATAATTATGTTGAATTAGTATATGCAATAAATTAGCTATAGCTAACATGGCTAATTGAAAGATTTGTTATACAATATGTTATGTATTATAATGTAACTACATGTAACACTGTCTTGTTGATTTGAAAAGTATGAACTTGTCAGAGAAACCATGTTTTATGTTAATTGTCATTCCCTTTAAAACAAATAATTTATTTTTATGGTCAACTTCCTTCCTTCTTTTGACCTACTTGTATGAATTGACTGTTACCTTTCTGTGTGTTGAAGGATTCTGAAAGTACAGCACATCTCTCACAATGGATGGTTTTCTTCGGCAGTACAGGCCGAGAAGTAATTCGTTTGCTGGGTTTAAAAGGAAGTATACTGCTGGAAATATCCCCAGGGTAAGTGGAGCAATGTGATATTTTCCATTACACTGCATCATATAATTTCTTTTCTATTGATTAATTAGTCCATAGCATTTGCTGTACGTGAAACTGTATACATGCTATATCATTTCAAAATTGAATTCTGCATCACTGCATACATAACTCAATAATGATTGGAAGCAACTGCAGTGCATGTGACTGCATAAACTTTACATTTTAGTTTGTCGTTGACCACCGTTACTTCTTTTTTAGTAACCGTGCGTTGATTGATAATGCATAGTTTACCCCAGTGATCCAGATTCAAGGTGATCTGAGTAAGCTTACCACAGAACTGACTTGTAGTTTATAGTTCTGAAAGGCAATATACTAATAACTCACAAGTGCACCTGCATATTTATATATTAAAGTAATAAATTCACTGCAAGACTATATGTATTTCATAACTCACTATGCAGGATTATTATGACAATTTATGATAATAATATAAAATTGATTCTATCTTTATGTATTTAAGTACATGTAACACCAAAGCATCGTTGCCAGAAGAAGGTCTTTAAATCTGTTCTTTGTAATTAAAACTAATTTGAATGTCATAAAAATAAAAGGATTTCAAATAGATGTAATACAGGATATATATATAATTAAATTGATTGAAGGGGTTGACCAACTAATGTAATGTCAAAATTAATACTACATGTAATTTAAATCAGTATTGGGATGAAATAATGGTAATCAATGTAACTCTCAGTTCAGATTTCCTCAAAATTATTATAAAGTAAGAGGCTCTAAAAGCAGGTGGTTGAATTCACATAACTTTCAATTTACAGAAGGAAGAGCAATATTTCTACTATTAATGTGAATTAGATGGCTTATTTAAGTGACTTTTAGATGTCAAACTAGTGTAGCAGTGAACATTTCACTAAGGGCCTTATATTTTCTTGAATTACACAAAATTTGGTTTTTAAATCATCAAATCTCTATAATTACTTTTGTGAAAATTCAATGCAATATTTACAGTGAGGACCCACATCTCTGGCTTGATAGAAAAGTCATTAGAAGCTAAAATGTGATGGGCTTTTTGATAAACAAGTTGATTCCTTATTGGATTTAGCCATTAATACAGCGTGGTCAATGATGAGAAACAGTATTGCAAGTTACCATGCCTGACTCTAGAAGGAAGGACCCATCTCCCCCCCCCCCCTGAATGCCAAATGAATTCTTCCATCTTTGATGTTTTAGTTCTCACAACACTAAAAAAAGCAACATTATTTACCTTTCATGCAGTCAGGATTTGAAACAGACATTCTGTTGTTTCTTTGATAATAATAGATTGTTTTGTTATATGCCATGGATTAGTTAATTTTAGGAAAGAACCGTGTGAATTCTCAAGATTGTTTGGCAAATAACGCAGAGGTGACCCGTAGGTTAAAAGCTTTCATAGTGCTGTGAAGTGTTATTCTGAATTCATGGCGTTATACAATGTGTTCATCTATATTCCTGTTGATAATGTACGTGTATAGAGTTTAAGTTATGGGCAATCTACTATGCCCATTATGAGGAGTTACTAATTGTTTATAACAATGCTGGTTACCAATTACTTTTCAAATCTTCTAAATATCTTTTCAGAATACTCTAAGTAATTTACTTTCATTTGGAATTTATTTTTGATTCTTTCACTGAAGGAATGAATCAGTTAAACTAAAATCCAGTGAAAATACCTTTTTTTGCTTCGCTGTCAAGCTGTTCGCCTTCTCCATAAAAACTTCCAGCTCAATTACTTTGATACTTGGTATACAAGTACATTTACCTTTGGTAGACCTCACTCAGATTTGTTCCTTTCATGGCATTATCTATAATTCTATATTTTTGGTAAAAATGTTATTTTCGACTTCTTTCTTGAAACCAATTGTAATTGCCATGGGAACAAGTAAACTACCATGGTTGTGATATGGCAAGAACATTGTGGGAGCCCTAATAACCATGGCTAATAGTTAATATCTCATCATACAGAACATTAGTCTTCAAAATTCAGTGGAAATAAATGTGATACAAAACAGTCAAAATGCTTTTTCAGTGAAAATATTAAATTAATTCCAGCTAAAATAAAAAAAAATTCAGAATAATTGCTGTTGCAGTTTACCAAACTATTAAAGCTGTCAATATGGCTTCAGTTCTAATTCATTGAGTTTGGTAGATGCTGAGTTGATATAACCCTATTATTCTACTTTGTCATTAGCTCTCGAGAACATTGCTCATTTGGAATGTGTGGTACAATTGCATCAATATTGAGTTATAGTTTCAATACCTTCTAAAGCAAATTAGCCATTGAGAAATTTTGTGATTTTATATCAAAAACTACCTTGAATCAAATTTATATGCATGTGAATAAAAAATCCATGAAATAAAATAAATATATTTCTCATAGAAACTTTGATTCCCACTAAGCAATTAAGGGTCTAAGAAACCACTGATACATGTATGGTGACAACATATTAGCCTTTACTCAACTATAGAAACGTGTCTAGAATTTTACAGAAGACATTCATTCGATTCTATTTTATTTTCCAGGATATTAAAAAGCAGCCTGGAAGTCCAGTCCTTTCCAGAAAAACTCAAAACCCTGCAGTAGTTAAAAGAATGTTTAGTTTTAATAAGGCTCAGAGATTACCCAAAATTCCAAGGCCTAGCAGGACATCTATCATATTTGATTGTCTCAAAAAAGGCTTAAGGTTTGTACCAAATGTTCCATTATTCTGTCAGTAACGTGTACTTGTGTCAGTTTTATTAGGCTTACAAAAATGCTTACGAAATTCTTAAGAAAAAAAATGTTCCAGAAGTGTTACTAAATTGAAATTTGAATCAAATGGGAAACGGAAACAATTACCGTTGTTTAGGCGCAATGAAACATATTTGACATTTATTACATATTTTTCCCAATTTCAGATCATCGTTTATTTTACTTGATTATTCTAAAATATTAATGAAATTTTACAAATGATCTCAGAATGCTTCTTTAAAACCAATGGAGAAACAAAAAAGCAAATATTTTGCATAAATTTGGATTTTATAAGGACAGAAGCATATTGGTGTTTAATTTCAAAGAAAATCATGGGCTTTGAATTTATCCTGTTACAAAATTGGAATTTAAATAATATATATTCATATGTAAAATACTTGACATTTTTAAAATGATTATTTATGCAAAAAAGATTTCAACAACTGTAGTTTTTGACATTCATTAAAATTAATTGCTTTTCCCTCTGTACAGGGAATATGTTAAAGCGAGACAGAAAGATTTAGATGATATGAGATCACAGCAGCAAGGCACTATGAAATCTGTCAAGTCTAGAACAGTAAGTAATTATATTGAATTATCTACTGTCAGTGTCTCTTGTTTGTATCAGAAGCACATGTTAAGTTTTATGTCAAGGTGTACTTTTTATTAGATTTTTAGGGGTAAAATCAGGATCATGTATATGCCTATGTAAATCATATCAGAGTCATTGAAGTGAATCAAAATGAGTTTATACTGCTGTATTTATGTTGTATGGTTCCTAAAGTTTACTGAATGTTCTCAAAGGTCTGTACTGACAGAATTGGCTTGTGTTGTATTGAATGATGTATGATGTGGTTATAGTAAACTGAACATATTATTGATTTCAGGGCTTTCACTATGATCTTGATAAGGTAAGACTTCATTTTTCAGTTTACCTGAATTCATAATTAGATAAATGTAGTGTAACTTGGAATTGCATATCATAATCATAGACTGTAAACTGCTATAATTTTAAGACAAATGTTCATGAGTTGTTGAAAATTTGAAATTTTTAGCAGTGAAAATTGCTCTGGAATCCTAGGACTCAGTGTCAGCAACTGTTATTGTGAATGCCTTAAAATCATCAATTCATGAGGATTCCTAGAAAACTTTACGATTTACAGTATTTTTAGCTGATTTACACACTGCTGCTTATGCCACATCGTATTTCAGACTTTCATTATCTCTCATATTTCTTTCATTTGACGTAATCAATAATATTTTTATCAATCCCGGTACAAAGGTTTTCTATTCTGGAAAATTAAGTATCCTCCATTAGAAACACCAGTTTTAAATGTTGATTATACAACCAAAGTATCATTAGCATATTATATATATTATAAAACAATTTTTTTCATGATCAAACAAACTTGGACATGCCTCTGTCACTCCCATAAGCACATGTGCTATTACAGTAGTTGCTCTATTAGCCTTTCTCGCCTAAATTTTTCTGCTCTTTTGTGTTATATTCTTCAATATTTCTGGAAATGAATCCTAATTTTGAAGCCAACAGGCAATATTTGAGTAAGTTCTCAGTTTGTGAATTCTAATAGAACAAATATGCTATGAGGATATGAAAATTAGAAATTTGTCAGTTGCCTGAAATAGATGAAATTTATTCCCAATTTATGAGAATATTGTAAACCCATTCAATGTTTGCCTATGGTACTGTTACGTACAAAATTTCATGGTGAAAATTTGCCAAAATTAAATGAGTTCACATTTCATTCACTCCTTGGCATTCACAGCAAATCAAGAACACAGAGAGGTTTATAAGGTATGTAAGAGGTGATTTTAAAAATATCTACATGTATTCTTAGTTAGGGATACTGCTTGTCATAACCAAAAGTGATTCAAATTCAACTTTCTGCTTATTATTTGCAGCCTGATAATACCACACGCTTGCTGTATAGCATCACATTTCACTTCACAACTCACCCACTAACTCTGCTGCAATAATTAAATGTTGGTTGTTCTATATTTTGTGTGCATAAAAGCAATAAATAATTGTGGTTCATCGTTGGTTAGTCTTGTCTTGTGCATATTAGACATCAGGAGCTAGGTTTTCTGTTAAACTACTTGTGCTTCAATTTCAAATCTGGCTGTGCATGAATAGATTAACTATTTACAGTACAAATACTATATCTTCATGCGAGCAACAGTTCTGGACATTGAGTGTCACTGTTGGTCTCTCTTGACTTTTTTTTGTATGTGCAAATTGCAAGTGCTAGTGCATTTTTGCCACAGAAGTTATATTCATGTTTGGGACTACATGGCAGAGCTGTGTGGCCATCTCTCTATCAAATGGCAATTTTAATGCGCTATCCTGGCGTCAACCAGGCTCAGTCGAACACAAGCACCTGCGGACCAAGGTTCCCCCAAAGTCGCATTCGTTAGTGAATGAATCTCAGCTAGTGGAATTGGCCTTCCCATTGAGTCTGTGGCACACTCGCCCAGGGTAAGGGTCAACCCTTTGATGTTCAGCCTATGGTAGGATTTGAACTTGCTTGTTTCCTCATTAACATCTTTGCTTGTTTTCCCCCTACTGTATGTAATATTTTATTTCAGAAAGTTAGAGTTTCATCTTACCAAGATAGAGGAGCTCCAGGATAATTATAATATACAGCAGAGAATAAGGGAAGGTAATTACACTACAAGAATAAACATTTCTATGATATTCATTAGTCAAAAAAAAATTATACTGTTGGCAGAATGATTTGTAAATATTCCTCGTCTCAAATGTCTATGAAGAAGGGAATTAAAAAGTAGGGTTTTGGTTTACCATTTTTTCTCAATCAGAAGCAAATTGCATTTATTATATGCTGAATCATTTCAAATTTTACCGCCGGTTTGTGATTGCGTCCACTCTTGGCGAGTCTATATTGCATTAGGGGACATAGAACGTTTTTTACGCATTCTCAGGCTGGTACATGTGTGGATTCCCCTGAACGATTTGATCCCGAAAATAACCACAGTCAGCTGGCGTGATAATATTATAAATGCGATTAATCCACCGATATTTATTATATGAGGGTAACCATCTTGAACACTGCGTGAAACTAAATAGACAAGTTGAGAAACAGTTTCCTACAAATCAGGGAGAAAATAACTTTCATACTCATTCATTGGGGTAACATTAAGCCAAACGCTGAAAAAATTGACCTCATTTGTCATTTTTGTGTGGACATGAAGAGCATTGAACACTTTTCCTAGTATAGTTCAAAGCGAAATCGCAATCCAAATGTAGGACCGTTGTTGATTAGCTCCTAAAGTGTGAGGATCGACCCCTATTGTTACATAGATTCGTCTTAAGTGGGCGTGACCACAAGACAGCGCCAGCGAGATTCAAAAGCCAACCGTTTAGTCAAAACCAAAGCAGTTAGCCAATTCGCTAGCGAGTTTACAAATTGGCTACCCCAATACTTCTGAGACTTGCTGTAATGAAGAAAAATAGAAAATTTAGTTATTTCTATTTCTGAGTTGCACTTTGATACAATGTAACTGTATCTTAGAATATAATGTAAAAAATGTTATGCCCTAAATTTTTGTCAAGTTGGTGATTGCTTCAGCTACCTATTTTGTTGTGTGCTCATAACGTATTCACCAACACTGTTTTTTGATGCATGTGTATCAGTATGTCCATGAAACCAATTGCACATAACTAATTGTGCCAATTTCATGGTGCATCATTGGTATATCAGAAATTCAGACATTGATATACTAATCTTAAAAAAACATCTTGCAGTTTTAACTGTAAACAACATAAACTTAAAAAAAAAAAAATCAGAGGGCTATAGAATTTTAGTTTGTGCGTACATGCAATCATGGAGGTAAAAAGAGAAGGAGTCACAGCCAAAATAATCCTCCTAAACTTCTTTTGTTTTAGCCAAGTTTAATCCTATAATTCCCTTTGTCTTATCGTCCTTTCACCCCAGGATCGTCGCCGACGCATCATTTACCCTCAAGCGTTGCTGCGTACAGTACACACTCCAAGGTCTTGTTTTACGGTGTCACAGTAAATCTTAAAGGACATAAAGCATGCGCAGATATTTTATACATAGAGGAATCGTGTTTGTGAGAACGGGAACGTTGGAATTTTGAAAATTAGAGAATTACTTGTTAAGTTTATGGAATTTTTCGTTTTTCAGAAAATTTTCCGTTGTATTATTGAATCGGCAGTATGGTAATGTTTCGAAACCTTGCTAGTACTGTTTTTTAGTCCAAAATAAAGCTTGTTTAATGATCTTTGCAATGGTGCATGACATAGACCGCTCCGCGTTGTACCAGAGACTGAATTTTGAGGTTCGAAATGACACTTTTTGAAGTTTATATCCCGTGTATGTCCTACTTCCTATGGCAGTGCATGGAGGTAAAAATTCGCTGCATTTTTTGTTTTCGAGCAATCTTTTTTTTTTACAGCATATGCAAAACAATTCTTCGTCTGTAATATGCTCTTCCATTTCGTTTACGTCTTTTGAATTGAAGCTTATGGCAGTTTCAGCATCGTAGTCAAACTCATGCGCGTTATCGATCGTCGCCATATTTGTTTATAAGAATTTGACTGGAATTGTCACGAAAATCACTGAGTGCTGTCGAAGACGTCCGTAGTATGCTAATGTATCGTAATCCTCACTGCGCTAAGCGGAAAATGTCTTCCTTGGTCCGTTCGGCAAATAAACTCCCTGATCTATGTACAAACAGCGGCGACCATCCTGGTACCTTTGATCTGAGCTTGGATGTGACTGTTTTTTCGTTTGAGGACTTCTTCCTCGATTAGTCAACAAGCTGACACAACTTGATTTCATTTTGACTTAGGATCTCTACAAAATCAATCCTGGGCACACTAGATATGACCTCACAAAGATTCGCTTCTGTCCTGAATATCACTGTCATTCTGGGCAGTGGTCACCGTATTTGAATGTCTTTTGAAAGAACACTACGTAAACCTTCACACATTCTACTTGTACGTTCAACACTTTCATAAATTTTGATTTCTATTCTGCTAAGGTGCCAAGAATATTATGAGAGCATATGAAGACTCCAGTACACATAACTACAAATTACCAGTACATGAAGCTAAGATAGAGTTTAAAGACTGCACCCAGGTACAACATTTTAATTTACCGTATTTTAACAATCCAGTACACATAACTACAAATTACCAATATATGAAGCTAAGATAGAGTTTAAAGACTGCACCCAGGTACAACATTTTAATTTACCGTATTTTAACAATCCAGTACACATAACTACAAATTACCAATATATGAAGCTAAGATAGAGTTTAAAGACTGCACCCAAGTACAACATTTTAATTTACCGTATTTTAACAATCCAGTACACATAACTACAAATTACCAATACAAGAAGCTATGATAGAGTTTAAAAACTGCATATTTTAATTACCCATAATTCAAATATTATTAAATACATTAGGAGCAGCATATGTTATCTATGATATAGCTTAGACAGGTTATAATATTGTCTCCTATCTATTTTAGGCTATGTGCTGTATGGAAGCAGAGTTAGCAACATTATTGGGATATTTTCATCTTGAAGTTAAAGGTTAGTTTAACCAATCAAGGAGTGACGAAATAATGTGTGTAAAACTAATTTATCAATGGTGGCAGTGTTCCCCTATTCCATGTACTTCATGGGAATTACTGACACAGACAAAACAAACAATGCACTATTTCTAACACACATATATAAGTATACACATTTGTATTTAATTTCATCGTGGTATGATTGTTATAATCCTAGACTCTGAATTAGAAATGTGTTGATGGGTTGAATTCCACCCATACCTTGTTGTTGGCCAAAATATTTTTCAGTGTTTTTCTGCTGCAAATCATCTAACCCTGTTCAGCTAGGCAAAAAGGAAATTTTAATGTACAATTGTTTTTTTGTTTTTTGTTTTTTTTTAAGGAATTACTGGTTATGCCAGGCTGTGTGTTGGAGATCATTTTGAGGTGTGTATCTGCAGTATTTTCTATTCATAAATTTGAAACTGCCTTGTCTCTTATTTTCACTTGTGGAAATAACAGAGATTCAATGATTTTTGGTTTATGTGCTCTTGAATATGTGTTTCCAATAATAGTAAATATCCGGTATTTAGATAAAAAATTCTTGCGGTTAGATGTACCCAGGAAGCAGTATTCAGAACTGTGATTGGTATTTATATTTTATTCTGATAGGTTGTTTTGAGACACGGTGCACAGAAGTGGAAGTTCCGTGGCAAGGTTGAGAAAGACAATGAGCAGACATGGGAAAATAAAAACATGTTATTGTATCCTCTAATTGCAGATAACATCAGTATAAAGGTGAGGTAATCAATGTTCTTTTAATCTTTAATCTTAGCAGCTTCAGTCTGATAGTATACTCTTACGAAGCTTTACATGACTGTCTGAGTGTAACTAAACATTTGGTTATCAGAGCTTGTTTTCAAAACCATCATATATTTACATTCTGCAGAGTAATCTATCTAAATATGTCTTGTATTAGTAATATAGGGAAATACTACAAAGGATAAATTGAAATTGCCTCTGATAATCCCTCCTCACAAACGTAGTTTATTTCAGCTTACACAACAAGTGCTGGGAACCAAATACTGTAAAATACTTTATTTTCGCTATTTTCGCTGAAGGGATGATTCAGTGAAAATAAAATCCAGCGAATATACATTTTTCCCATATTTTACATTTAATTCATCAAGAATCAAAATAAACTCCATACAAATCATCCAAAAAATCTTTTCAGCGAAAATTAAATCCAGCTAAAATAAAGTATTTTACAGTATTGATTTGTAAAGTTGTGCATGTTCAATATTGCCAGCATGTGTTTCAATCATGGAAAGGCATCAGTAAAATGTCTGCGGTAGTAGCTCTCAGTATTTCACACATCACGAAAGCATTCGTAAATTTATTATGTTTATTAGGTAACTGAATTGAAAGGTTTGGGTCGTCCTAATATAATTGTTGGTAATATGGAATGTGATACCAATGTCTTGTATAAACCAGAACAACAGGTGAGTTGAGTTTGTGATAATAAAGATATGATTGCATGTAGATGTGATTGTAGAATATGAACCTTTTCACAGCCAGACTTTCTCACTCAAATTTTTCTGAACTTTTTTCTTAGATTCATAATATATATATTTTTGGAGCTAACACACAAAATTTTCAGTTTTTACTCAAAATTCTGAAAGAAAGTGCAGACTTATAAATGGGACTATTTTGTGTATTTGTGATAAAAAGAGGGAACTGGTTGTGAAAAGGATAACGCATAGCAGATTCAATGTGTAAATTATGATATGCATGTTTCAAGTGAGAATGTAATGAAAATCTGCCAATTCATTCAGTCTAGTTTTTAGTTAATTATCACTACAATTGTTGACAGCAAAATGATGAGTGTAAGCCATGTTGTTTAAATAAACAACTCTATTTGGTTATGTGGTTATTAGAATATAGCAAATCTTTTCATTGGTTGATGACCATATATATAATAAATATAATCATTATTGTCACTGCAAACTGTGTCCCTAACATCACAGAAACACTGGGAAGTTGGTAAGGTGTATTGTCAAACAATGCTAAAATTCAATTAGTAATATATAATCATTATTGTCACTGCAAACTGTGTCCCTAACATCACAGAAACACTGGGAAGTTGGTAAGGTGTATTGTCAAACAATGCTAAAATTCAATTAGTAATATATAATCATTATTGTCACTGCAAACTGTGTCCCTAACATCACAGAAGCACTGGAATGTTTGTAAGATGTATCAAATAATGCTAAAATTAAATTATTTGACTGATTCATATTGAAACCAACATTTGAAACTTTTGTGAATGTTTATAACAGATAAGAATGATATTTGTGTTTTTGTAATTGTATATTTCTATTCCAGGACTTGACTGTCGATATCAATGATGCAGGAACATTGAAACTTAACATGAAAATAGTTTGGAGGTAAACCATTTATTATGTTTCATTTCCACTTTTCATAAATCATTGACATTTATCACATTTGGTTCCGTTAAACATTAAATAGAAAACCCAGTCATGAACTTCTAGTGCTTAGCTGCAAAGTACTGTAAAATGACCTATTTTCACTTTGTTTAAATTTCACTGATTTAGCATTTCAGGCATATTCATTGGGTTTTAAATTCACAGTTTTATTAGTCCCCGTTCGGACGAAGTTCGAAAACGGGGACTTATAATTCGGTGTCCATCCGTCCGTCCGTCTGTCTGTGCGTCCGTGCGTTCGTGCGTCCGTCCGGAGTCATATCTCAGAGTCTCTTGGACCGATTTCGTTCATTCTTTGCATGTGCCTAGTACTTTATGTGGGACATATGCACATGCAGTGGTTTAGCAATTCGATTCAAAATGGCCGACTGGCAGCCATCTTGTTTTTTGAAAATGTTGTATTTTGGACATGCTTTGTCAGTTTTCATTCAAACTTGGTACATAGATTATACATGTTAGGGTACATGTCCATGACGATTTATTTCACAACTGGATCAAAGATGGCCGACTGGAAGCCATCTTGTTTTTTGAAAATGTCATGTTTTGAACATGCTTTGTCAGTTTTCATTCAAATTGAGTACATAGATCATACATGTTAGGATACATGTTCTGATTGTCCGTGAGTTCCTGAGTCTGTCTGTCCGTCTATGCGTCAGTCTGTCCAGAGTCATATTTCAGAATCCTGCTGACAGATTCCCTTCATTCTTTGCATGTGCCTAACACCTTATGTGGGACATATGCACATGCATTGGTTTAGCGATTCGATTCAAAATGGCCGACTGGCAGCCATCTTGTTTTTTGAAAATGTTGTATTTTGGACATGCTTTGTCAGTTGTCATTCAAACTTGGTACATTGATTATACATGTCGGGATACATGTTCATGACGATTTATTTCGCAATTGGATCAAAGATGGTCGACTGGCAGGCATCTTGTTTTGTTTTTTTATGTGGTATCTGGTTGTGCTCATTCAAATTTTGCACATACATGTACTTTATACATGTTAGGATGCATGTCCATGACAATTTGTTTCAAAATCTGGTCAAAGCTGGCCGATTGACAGCCATCTGACTTTTTGCCCTTACTACTATATTTCCACAATTTATGTACCATTTTCATTTGTATTTGGCACAC